AATGCTGCCTATGACCCCAATAACACCATCCCCACCGTCAAACATGGAGGTGGAAACATTATGCTTTGGGGGTGTTTTTCTGCTAAGGGGACAGGACAACTTCACCGCTTCAGCGACGATGGACGGGGCCATGTACCGTCAAATCTTGGGCAAGAACATCCTTCCCTCAGCCAGGGCATTGAAAATGGGTCGTGGATGGGTATTCCAGCATGACAATGACCCAAAATACACGGCCAAGGGAACAAGAAGCACATTAAGGTCCTGGAGTGGCCTAGCCAGTCTCCAGACCTTAATCCCATAGAAAATCTGCGGAGGGAGCTGAAGGTTCAAGTTGCCAAATGTCAACCTCGAAACATTAATGACTTGGAGAAGATCTGCAGAGTGGGACAAAATCCCTCCTGAGATGTGTGCAAACCTGGTGGACAACTACAAGAAACGTCTGACTTCTGTGATTGCCAACAAGGGTTTTGCCACCAAGTACTAAGTCATGTTTTGCAGAGGGGTGAAATACTTATTTCCCTCATTAAAATGCAAATCAATTTATAACATTTTTGACATGCGTTTTTCTGGATTTTGTTGTTATTCTGTCTCTCACTGTTCAAATAAACCTACCATTAAAATTATACACTGATCATTTCTTTGTCAGTGGGCAAACGTACAAAATCAGTAGGGGATCAAATACTTTTTTCCCTCACTGTATGTCCAAGTTGCCTGTTCAGACCGAGTCTTAAGTCCAACGGCCGCACAATAGATGGTGGTGGCATCTATATCTGCTCATGAAGAACCAGTGACATCTACAGCAGAATATACAACTTTTAAAGCCACTCCGTGTGAAGTGTACATGCCGTGCATGTTTGGAATCGACAGGTGTAAAAAGTTGGACTTGCGAAAAAAAACGACTTAGGAACAGAACTCAATAACCTAACTCGTTCGTAAGTCGAGTCCCTGTATGCGTCAGCACACAATGGTCAATACTCTTGCGAAACGCCATGAGATCTTCAGCATGCCTCTTGTACAAACAACTTCAAATTGAACAAAACATTTAAATTCCATAAAGGATGCACCTTTCAAAATATCACTCACAAGAAATCAGTGTGGTTATATCCAAAAGACTGAGCCTCTAACTAAACAGATAACCATTTACACTCCATGTGAATATTTTGCTATATAAGCTCACATGCCGATGGAACATAGGTTTAGAATTAATCTAAAACACAAATTCTGGTGGTGTTCATTCAGACGCTGTCTTTCTGACAGACCTGTTCTTCACCTGAGGACGGCTGCTTGCGTTGTGGCCGAAACGTCGTGAGAATTATTTTATTATGTTTTATTTTTATTATTTCCATTCTACGTGACTTTACCGAAAGAACCAAGAAGACACAAATTCTTGCCATTCCTTTGAAATAAATGCCTTTCAACAGCCACACGTAAATTCTAAATAGTTCATATGCAAAGCATTGGCTCAAGGATGTTACCATGCTCCTCAGGATTCCATTCCAAATAAAATAGAAAATATAAATTGATGGAAGGTTCTATTAAGGTGTTTTGATATTACCAGGTAAGGCCCACTGATCTACATAGCACTTTTTCAGAAGCGACCTGGCCACAAATGATAGCGCAACAAAGTGGCTCATCATGTGGAAATTTATAGCAGCCAAATAATCTAAAAACATGTTTATAAAATGTTGAGGGAAAAACCAGAGGTCCTGGAGAAAAATGCACACAACCAGAGCGAACATGCAAACTCCAAATATATAGGCATCGGGGTTGGGATCGAACCCACGACCTGTATACCAGGCGAGGTAGTTCACATCTCGCCACCATGGCGGCCCTGCCCAATTTACAACTGTCAAAGTTGCTTGCTTTGCTAACTTGCTGGTTGAGGGACAAATTGTAAATTACCGAATGCTTAGACAATAAACCACATACAAAAACAAAACCACTACAAAATCGGTAATGGGACTGTTGCTACAAAACGGGATGTAAAATGGACAATGTTATCTCCATTGTTTTGCAGTTTCCATGTTATTTTCCCAATATTTTAGAAAAATATGCGTTTAATGTATCGTTTCGAATCAGAATTAAGCTTTGACCATTCAACTTTGGAAATAAAAATATCTTTCAAGCTGAGCAAACATTACTTGTTTTCTTCTCTAAAGGACCTCTGACACGTGTCGGAAATGGTCATCCAACTACCACACATAGCCATGAACCCGATACGATGTCTTAAAGGTAATACAGTCGATCGGAAAGGTCAAGGCTGGGCTCCTTGTGAATGCTTTGCCCAACAAGAAAGGCCAGTTTGTGGGCATAATGGCAGGGTGCTGGCACGCAGATGACACCCTGCAAGATAAAGAAAACATTGAAATTAATGTTGCAATATTTACCAACGGTATAAATCCATATTATGTACAATCCAGAAAAGAAAAAAAATCAGTTAAAACATTTGGTCATCGAATCATCTCGATTCATTCGCTGTCATTTTTTTTGCAATAATTAACCTCCGATATAGCTCAATGCAGCCCCTTACCGGCCAGTTGTAGTAAAGGTGGCACATCTTGTAGGCAAGCCGCTGCATGTGGTCAGGCTTCATGTTGCTGGTGTCGTACACCACATTGTAGTGCGTGGGTGTCACGGTGCCCTGGCGCACCGACTGGCTCACGAGGAAGAAGTCATACCTTGGGGAAAGGGCCGTTGTAAGAGGGCATAACAAAATATTTGTTTGGGAGTCATGTTTGTGTTATGCTTTTGTCATGCTATTGTGCATGTATATGCACAGCCCTTTGACATCTCCCCGTTCCCTGTTGCGATGGTAGTTACTTGACCATACTTTACTATGCTAATCAACGAGGGTTGATTCATGCAGGAGCACTGTAGGAGCATAGACATGCAAGTACAACAATGGATTGTTTATCTGCACTGCCATCTGCTGCTGACCATGTAGCCCATCAGCATGTTATGTTATGCATGGTAGATATGCATCCAAGCAATACCTGGGCTCAAACGTGCTTCCAAAATCTGATATTGGGCAATGATTTGGTCACATCCTATATTATAAAAAAGGCTTCATCTGCGATAATATTAATGCCTAGTTGCTAATCCAGTCAATTCCTTTCAAAAATGGCGTATTCCGACCAATTTCTCCTGATTTATCAAGGCAAAAACGGTAGCAACACATCACAAATAAGATCTTGCAATAAAATTCCAATGTCAACAAAATACCCACTTAGTCTTGAAAACCCTTTCCCCCGTCACCAGTGCTGTTGACTCCCTGGCCCTGTTAAATTACCGTCGAAATTCGCATAACACCCAAGTTGTACTTTGACATTAACCAACAAGTAAAAAAAATACACGTTAACGGTTTTATATTTGCACGCGATTAACAGTTTACAGCCGTAAACCATCATATCCACGTGCACATCTACAGCACAGGTCTGCAATGATAAAAACACAGATTGAGACTGGCAGCTCACCATTCATGACGCGTAGCCTCGGTGTCAATGACCGTGCCGGGCGATGGATTTTGCACTCCGCTCCTTCCAAACTCAAAGAAACGAGCAATGCCCCTCTTTTTCACCACCACCACAGTGACTTTGGGTCTTCATTCGCCAAAGAAGAAGAAAAAATAAGGAGATTTTAAATAATATACATTCGGAACTATACGTTAGGGCGCTTCGACCATATTTTACAGTGGGTCTCAATAAAAAAATAGGAGTGTCCTGGCAGACCTCGTTGTCACATGCCATCGTGTTTAAACATCTGCACACATCTTCTTGGTTCTTTCGGTAAAGTCACGTAGAAGGGAGATAAAATAAAATAATAAAAATAAAACATAATAAAATAAAATTCTCACGACGTTTCGGCCACAACGCAAGCAGCCGTCCTCAGGTGAAGAACAGGGCTGTCGGAAAGACAGCGTCCGAATGAACACCACCAAGCTTGGCAGCGTATATTTAAGCTGGGTTAGGGGAGAGCGCCTTGACAAAGGAATTTACATATAAACAGATGAATTTAGCATACCTACACATTCCACAAGTAGTGACTAATCCCATATCTGGTGAGGCTCTGCTTTTGGCGAATTGCCCGATGATGCTGGATGCAATTACCAGCGAAACGTCGCGCTACTCAAATTGTAAATGTTGTGGTTTCACGCTTCAACACACCGGTGGGCTAAAGCAGTGAACTATTTGTCTTTTGTCAAGGTGACACTTTTTTGCTGATTGGCCGTGTCGGGTGGTGGAGGGTTACGACACATTTATAAATAACGCGATCCAACCCAAAAACGTTGATTATGAACAGAGGAATTGTCTCAACACAAAGAATGACGAGACGAGTGGGACATACGTGTAGTCAGTGCCGAGGCTCTTGAGGCAGTCGAGTAGCTGGGGAACCTCATGGTTGACTACCACACTCAGCTGTCCGTCCCCCACACCGTCACGGTATAACACGATGCGCATTGGCAGAGTGCGATTGATCTGCTGCCACCGTTTGACTGCCGCTGAAGAAAGACAAAAATAACTTTATAGGCAACATTAACTTCAGTTTTGTAAAAGCACTTCAACTTGCCCAATTGTGCCTCTTAGTTCATAATTTTTTATCCCAATCAGCTTTTGATGACTACCTTATGTGCCCAAAGAAGAATGTTGCCTGCTATGACGCACGGACATTGATAACGAAAATATGAACGCCAAAAAGGGCGCAAAAATATTAACGCCAAAAAGCGCACAAAGCATATGTATACAAGCAACATGTGATTTTTTTTATTTAAAGCTTTCGTGACTTGGTTCTTTCGGTAAAGTCACGTAGAAGGGAAAAAATAAAATAATAAAAATATAAAACAGTATTTTTTTATATTTTTTATTATATAATTTTTTCTCTTCTACGTGACTTTACCGAAAGAACCAAGAATAACATGTGATTTGTTGCGTTGCAAGAGCCGAGAAATAGCAACTACTTGAGGATGCCTTCATCCACCAGTAGATTCATCATGGTCGACGATGACTTGAGTGTTTGGATTAATCGTACATTTTATTGATCAATTTGGTGAAAAACGGTAACGAGTCACACCTGCCCCATCAGTAGTAGACAAAAGCTGACCTCGAATTAGAGAAAATACCATATGCAACTACAACAAAACTTAAGTATTTAAATCATTACATCATCATAATGGCTTGCAATCATCTGGAGAGAAATAAAGTGCTTACATTGCATGCAAACTTTGAGTCCATCAATCATTTCCTGAGCAGCATGCTGGAAAATGCAACGCGAGTACCATCTGTATGGACAGACAATTTACAACAGTGATAAGCTGAGAAAATGCAAATCAATCACACAGCGAGTAATTTAAGTCAATCATATCGGAGCTACATTTCAAGAGGCATTATATTTAAAATTATCATAACAATACTCACATCACCCTGGGTTATATTCAATTAATATAGGAATGAGCATGGGTCTCAAAAAGGCCGGTTAGAAGTTTTTATTGGTCATTACAAACCTGGTAATAGTTTGGTTGAGACTTGCTACAAAGCCACAGACAGACTGCCCACGTGTAACAGAATCATGGCACGAGTCCACTCCAACCACCATCAACTGCTTAATCTGTATGCCACAAAAAGAGACCAAAAGCACATCCAAAGAGAAATGTGTTTGGTATAAAGCTAAGAAACTGCTTGCACAACAGGATCACTGAAACACAAGCCAGGTTCACAAACCCACCTGGGAGGCATAAAACAGTCCATGCAGACACAAGTTCAGATGTGTAATTGTGTACCAATTTAGGTCACAATATTTGAGTTCTGTCAGCATCTTGCCACAAATGTTTAAAACCCATTACTTCAAGACACTATGCTGACCAAATCTTAACATTCACCAACTCTCAGACAACACAACTGGATTACTAAATCACAACTGATTCGCTAATAGAAGCTCTTCATTAGCCATAGGCTATGTCGACATTGGCGCTCACACACGTCAGCAACTTATTTCCATATAGCAGTACGTGTGAAGCCTCATCAGGTAAGCAACAATTGTTGAAACACAAAGAACCCAACATCATGCAGTCTACTTACGGGAATCTCAACGCCCCACAGCTCTCCACCAAGCTTGCAGTTCATCTGCAATGCGATCTTTGTCGCAACGCTCCTTATCATTTGTGGCTTGCTGAGTGTCCGGGCGAGAACACATTGACTGGGGAACGGTCGTTCCACACACAGGAACTGCTTGATCGAATCATACTTTCCCTTGTGGACCGATGGCAGTACGCACATAACCTGATCACATTCCACATTAGAAACAAAAGCACACATCATATTCTCGCACTTTATACTATGCTAGAAAAGTTTTCTGCCTGGATTCCTACCCAGATTCCTGCCTGCCAAGGCAAAGTGCAGAATCGTGATGATGCCATCGCCGCATCTCAGAACGTTGGGCTGGATTAGTGCATGCTGATGCCATGCCACCCCCACCCACCACTCTGGCAGTGTATCCCGCACAACAGCACAGGATATGCCATCATTCTATCATATACATTAAACAAAGTTTTGCTCACTGGCTGCCGGGAGGGACAAGCCATCACCCATCCAAAACCAAGGGCCGGCTGTTAGTTAATACAAATACTGGACTATTAACCACACGTACAAACTTAAGAGTGTTATTTTGCATCACTCCCCACCCCGCTCCAAAATACTAATAAACACATTTCAATTGAATAGCAGAATAAAAAAAAAATTAGTTCCAAAGATTGTCCTCTTAACAATGCACCACAAAACCAATATTAAACTTGGGACTAAAATGAGGACCCCACTTACAATCTGGGTGTGATGGTTCAAATTCTGCTGCAAGGTTTGCACAAATGACTGTGCGCGATCCTGAACTTCAAACCTTCAAGACGAAAAAAAACACTTCGCTTATTCCAAGCACATGGCAAGTGAGAAAAACACAAAAAAACCTGTAGCCAGAGAACGAGAGGTTTTAGATACATACAACTCCAGCAGCTTTGTAAATCTGGTCACTGAAGTGGTATGCTAAATGGGTAACATTTTTTGGAATTTAATATTTCCAAACATAATCTGTTCCATCATCCGGACACTCACATTTCTGGCTTGTTGATGTGCATGCCCATGGGTGGGCCGACTTGCATCAGGTTCTGTACAATGGCACGAGCTTCATTGCTGTTGTTCCGCGTGAAAAGCAACATCCATTCTTCCAACGAGATGGGCGTCATCAGCTTCATGTTCCGAGACTCCCGCGACCAGTCTGCCTGTCTTTGGTTATACTGGTACTAACCACAAAAAAATACACAAATCAATAAACAATCTCGGTACCATGTACTCCGATCACTATCTGAATGATTGCATCCAGTATACATTTTCTAAACACAATTAAAATGAAACGTGGACATTTACCGATTGATCTTTCTGATAAAGCTTCTCACAAGTCACCACGCGACCAGTCAAGCTCAGCAGTTGCCGATCGAATGACAGGCCCCACTTTGCAAACTCATTACAAGTCTCCGGATTCCTGCATGCAGCAGAACCACACAATTCCGAAATGATTTAATGCACGCAGTTTGAATTCTGTGCAGAAACTTTGTCAACAAAGTGATGAAGGCCATCCCTACACTTCTCGATTATGGAGGTCGTCTGACCACGCTTCACCACACTATTCAGGAGAGTATTCTCCAGCTGAAGGTCCTGGACCAATTTAATTATCATTTTCCACGGATGCCAGCCATGGAAGGTAATTAACACTTGTGAGCACGAGTTGATAATGCAGTACGTTAACCGCTCACCACTGTTTCCTATGAACCCCAACCAGTGTTCGATTTCTGACCATGGCTAACAATCAAAGAAGTATGATATCTGTCCTGGCACTTGGTGCATACTTCCCCAACTGGTACTGACCAGTCATGCAGCAGAAGAGAATAATCCACTTGAACCATATCTCTATGCTACCAGTCTTCACCAACCCAGACTGTTCAGCATGAAGTAAAAAATCAAAACACAATGGCAAGGCCTTCATCGAGTGGTGTATTGGTCAAAAGGGTAGTACAATAAAACCTTGGATTGCGAGCATAATTCGTTCCGGAAACGTGTTTGTAATCCAAAGAACTCGTATATCAGTTGTGATCACGTGACGCTCGGCAGACAAAGCGTATACACGTACTACTCGTATTGCAAGACCTCGCTCGTTTGTCAAATTAATATTTATTTTAAAAAATTGCTCGTATTGCAAAACACTCGTAGACCAAGTTACTCGCAATCCAAGGTTGTACTGTATGTCCTTAAGGCGCATCGTTAAGTAGCACCTACTTTATGACAGCACAAGCAACATGTCCAATGAGACCAGCAAACTGCACTTTTAAACGTTTAATAAGGCAACAGTAAATTAACATTTTTACATACAAAAAAAACACACTTATTAATCATTGTGTAACGTTAACCAGCATCAGAAATTGCCATTGGTCTTTATTGCCCAGTTTATCCTCAACTCATTAGAATATTAAATTTAGCTGCCAATAAAATGGTAGTAACCATAAAAACAGTATGGAGATGCATTTTTCTCCCTCATTTCACATTTACGTTGCAGTGCAGAACTTACGATTGGAGTTTTTCAATGAATTTCTGCGTGGTCATTGCCCTCTTGTCTGGGCAAACTTGTGTTTGCAAGCCAAGGTCCTTCATGAGATGAAAATCTGAACGCATTTTGTCGCTCAAACCTGGAACAAACACCGTTCTTGCTGAACTCAAATTTGAAACGAAATTATCTCAAAACCTAATTGAGCAACACTCCATCAATTACCCAGTAACAATGCCAGACTTTAAAGGCTCCCTTCACGTGAAGACACATGCTCATTGGGTGCAAACATAAAAAATACTCGCCGAAAAAACGGAGTACAAACAGGAATATCACCAACGTACACTTGCAGTGAACTTTGAAAATACGTGCCTTGTAAACTAAGTGTTTCCTAAGCTGCGCACACCTTCCTGTTGCGTCAGTACAACATAATGCACACCACCCTCCCCCAGTTGTGCTAAAAACAATGAAATGCAATTTTTGGTACGTAAATTTAACAGCAAGTAAAAAACGAGTCAAGGGTAGCATGATCTAGAAACCTGTCTACAAAGTCATCCTCACACACCAGCACCAGAGCGATTTTTCCAATTACACTGTGGGTTTTTCCCATAAAGTTTATATCTATTCGCTGGTGGCAGATGGAGGAAATCCTTCAACACAACAACACCTCCACCTGTTAAATAGCTGATCTCAGGCAGCAGGTGCAGCTCTATCTCCACCTTGTTCCCCACCGAGTCCTTGCGCTTTGGGCGGCTGATCAGCAGTGGCTGCTGCATGTCCTTCACTTCCAGGCTGTATTGCTTTGGTAATTAAGAGACAAGATTTACACAACTACAGCAGGTCATTGATTACCCGGCGGCTTCAGGCGCCAATCGGATAAATCACATCATTATTTAAAATAGCAAATTTTTGCAAATTCTTGACATCATGTTTGTAGGTGTTATCTTTTTTGTTTTAAATTTGTTTGCTATATTAAATTGGCATAAATAAACAGACAAAATATCCTACTTCTTTCAAAGGCAACGTATTTACTGTACCATACTTACCACTCCAGTCTCTAAGATTCTGCATATACGTGCAGTATTTTCATTGTTTAAGTTGTATGTAGTGTGTAATGTACTGTATATATTTAAAACTGAAATCAAGAAAAGCTACTTTTTTTGTCACGCGCACGGTGCCGATTGCCGGACTGGGTCACAGCCTTTGGAGTGGTTTTGCCAGTTTCGCTGGATCGGACCACCAGATGTTGGAAGCCGGATAACACATTCCTGTGGAGGGAGCTGGTAGGAACGTTGGGTTGCTCGGTCAATGGCCTGCAGGGTCAACGGCGGCGTGGTGTATTCCGCATATATGCCCGACTGAGGGCGGGCACAAGCCGGCGTGAGTAGGTTAAACGTTGAGTTTTATAAGGGCACCACGGGGTGACCAGCCCCTCCCCACCCAGCACGACGGACACAATAATCCCCTGTGGGCTGGTGTAAGCAGGAGGTTCCTACCAGTATAAATGATCAAATGATTTATCACAACTCTTAATGAGCAATGGCAGCAATGTTTGTATATATTCATTGGTGGCCCATAAGCTTGTGCTGAAAATTCTTCATTCCCATTGTGGGGCAGCTAGTCTCTCTGCATAGAATTACTGATACTGACTTTCAAACAAACTGGTACTCATTTCAGCAATCCCAGATGATAGCACTATAAAGTTCCATCCAGAAGTTATTCCAGTATTACATGGCATCGAATATAAAGTATATGTTTAATTAAAAAAGGAAGACATTACCTTTGTGTAGTATTCATGGTAGGTTATCTCTGTGCCATCCGACTTCATGAAGGTCATGTTTGGATTTCTATTCCAAGAGATGTCGTCAATTCTGTAAGTCCGATTGTTGTACCTGCAATATAACAATTCACGTTATTGAAATTCATCAAGGTGCCACATTGGGTACAATTACCAACTCCTAAGCAAAATAGTATTCTTATTCCGACCTATGTAGACACAAGCAACACCATTTCATAATCTTATACTAACTTATCAAAACCATTGCCTTGAATTTAAAAAGCATTTTCTAAATAATATTCAAAACAATAAACTGCCCAGAAGGCACCTATATCTCATCATATCTCATAAACTAAGCAGGGTAGATTATGGAAAGTTATTGGACGATCACCAGACACAAAATCTGGAGTTACATAGGCAACAGAGGGCACTGCATAAAAATCAAAATTTGTACTATACTTTCAAGGCTCCCACGTGTATGCTAAATAGCTTCAATACACCACACTGACCAGTGTGTTTGAAATATGGGCAAACTAACCCCCATGGACTGGCTCGGGTTGGAGAAGTCTTAATCCAGCAGTAGAATGGCAATGGCTTGTACAAGAAATTATGCTCTTATGTATTGCAAATTACAAACAGGAAGCTCACATTTTGCAGCAATAAGACCTTACCTTGTGAGTATCACTTGGCCAACAAGCTCCTTTTGGCAAGCATCATGAAAATTTCGCTCTCCAATTTGCTCATACAAGGTGTACATGAAATCCAGAACGGACTCATTCCGGAGGATCTTGTGGCTGACGTCTGCGCAGAGCATCACATCGGACTCGTAGCACATGATGGAGGTGACAAAACCAGGCCAGACATGTAACCTAGGAGAAACGCAGGACACAAGTAAAAAAAAATGTCAACATGAAAAAATTAATCACAATGAATATAAGGTCTGGCTACTACTGCGTTATTTTGACAAGTGGGGCATGCCCGCATTTTTACACCCAAACTTTTCCCATCGTGGGGGTTACGTTCTCCTCGAAAATAGCCGCAATCGGCATATCCGCGATCCGCAAACTGTAAACGTATGGGAAAATGTTGGTTTCGTTCACAGCTTGTAATATGACAACCTAACCCTCCTTATGTTTTCTTATGTTACCCTACCTTAACCCAAACATTAAACAGGATGTATCGTTTAATGTAAGCTATGATTAATATTTTCTAGTGTTAAATATAACTTTGACAGTAAATTTAAAGAATGGGATAAACATGTGTACAGTGCTGTACATGTAAAGGTAAAAATAAAGATAATGACATGCACAGTAAACAAGTAACAAAAACAGATTTCTACTTACTGTGGGAGACAAGAAGGCATGTGTATTCTTCCGAGGCAGCATCATCGTGAGCAGTGCAGTTCGAGTACAGTACTTGTTTACGGTGCAGATAAGAATCTTGCAGTCAACCGTGGATAGTCAAACCAAAGGGGTGCTATTGACAAAACTATTCCTTAACACATTGTGTGGTCAAATCCACGATGAGGAAACCCGCAATGGGTTAAAGTTTGACTGGACCAAGCATTACACATTTCGACTACAGCAAAGAGATTGTAATGCTCATTATTGACATTTCTCTACTGTTGGAACAGACTTAAGACTGCAGATTTTACAATCTGGCACAAGGATCCACTAATTTTAATCTTTCTCTGCAGACAAGCAGAAAACTAGCATTTTTTATGATTGGCTACAGCCACACAAAGGCTTAAGACATTAAGCATTGTGCCACCATCATTGGGTTTGGCTATATAGAGTAAGGAGTGATGGGATTAATGTACCTGTGCTGTGGAATGGTGAATGCATCATCTGGATTGTAGTAGTTGCGTCCAATCTGTTGCATGTTGGCCATCTTCAGCACCCTTCAAAAAAATGGGAGCTTGTTTGACTTCCTTTTACATCAACTGCCATTTATTTTGAAATTTAAATGTCCCATGACATTTATCCACGAAATAATTTGCATTTTTATTGAAATTATAATGTACCAAGTATTCCCTGTGACATAACACCAAAGCAAAAACTAAGTTACGTCTTATATACTGAGCCAAGAATGTGTCCCATGCGTGACGTCACTCCACGAGGCCCACCACCCTAATTCATATTCATGAGTGGGTGGATTTTTACACTAACGCAGGTCGAGCTAAATTAATGTATTATGCAAAGTCGCTTCAAATGACGTTTTTTTACAGAAAGTGACGGCAAAAAAATACATCTACGCAGCAGTGCTACATCCGTACGTAGCATCACTGCAAAAGAGCCCCCCCCCCCTTATTATTATTCATGCCCGCGTGGAAATTTACACTAATGCACAAGGTCGCACACTCCACATGCCACACCCCTCCCCTCATTAATAATCATGAGCAGGCGACGTCACTCCACATGTAGCAACCCTCCCCAATAACCATTAGTGGGTTATGTCACTCCCCAAGGGGCAACCCCCCCCCCCCTCATTAATAATCATGAGTTGAACAATTTTTCTATTGAATATTTCACATTTAATCCAATATGCATCCGTCCTTGGACGGGCAAAAGGCTAGCAGATAAATAATAATCACATCTTATGTCCCCTTCCAGTGGCATGTTAAAGGCAAACTGTTGGCCCACAAAGATTTAATTAGGCTGAAAAATCCGTCTCTTGAATACTAAAAGGTACCATTTCCTTTCCTTAAATTACAGGTATTTATAAGCTCACAGCAAGACAGACGATGCAGCTGCAGTGAGGACTACTTGTGCAGCGATTGTGAGTTTACATGTTAAGATAAACGTTAGACGTGGAAAATTACTGGCCAAGTGTGGCAGGAACCAGTGAGTGCAGGGCATTGCTGCCATTTGCGACTGCTGGTGGGGGTGTTTGTGTGACATACATTTTCGGGTCAATCTGGAAAGGTACATCTAATTTGCATTTTAAAAGAGTATTTGTTTATCTTTGTGGTTCTTTCGGTAAAGTCACGTAGAAGGAAAATAATAAAAATAAAACATAATAAAATAATTCTCACGACGTTTCAGCTACAACGCAAGCAGCCGTCCTCAGGTGAAGAATGAAACACCACCAAGCTTGGGCATAATGACTTTGAAACCCCCCGCTCACCTCCTACGCATTTCCCATAAATATGCTAAATCCCTCTTGATATGCAAATCCTTTTGTCAAGGTGCTCTTCTTCCCACTCCAACCCAGCTTAAATATACGCTCCAAGCTTGGTGGTGTTTCATTCTTCACCTGAGGACGGCTGCTTGCGTTGTAGCCGAAACATCGTGAGAATTATTTTATAATGTTTTATTTTTATTATTTTCCTTCTACGTGACTTTACCGAAAGAACCAAGAAAATGAATCCCTGCAGTCACGAAAGCTTTAAATCGCGTATTTGTTTGTCCATCAAAGGGCAAAAGTTTAATTCATTGGTCACAAGGTTGAACCGTTTCATTAAACAATTAAGGCATGTAGGTCTGTGTTTAAGGGAAAAAAATGCAGTTTGTAAATGTTCCAGCTAGAGACCAGAGCTACGTTATTTACTTGCGAAAGATGATGTTAAACAGCACAATGGCAGTCGGTGATGATGGTGGGAGTTCGTTGGTCAAAGTGATGGTGATCTTTATCTTCTGTTCCTGTCTTGTTTGGCTCCATACCTCACTCACCTGAATATATGCATGGACAACATCACAAATGTGTCACTATAATTTTATGTGGGGTGTCAAAATTGCAACTCAGTACATGTTCATGTTGTAAAAATTCGACTCAAAAGTCTCCACTTATACAGATTGATTACAAATTGTCCATCAAAATAAATGTATCAATAATTGAGCATCTGAAGAGAACGTGTTGAAATAAAACAATGCTCTGTCTGATTAAGTCTCCAGATATTTTCAGACTGGTCCTCCACTAGAATGCCTGGCCAATAATTTTTTAGTAATTGCAAGAACAAATGTTTGGTATGCGAGAGGACCTGGAGAAAACCATGCACATGCAGAAGGGCATATGGCACAGTTTGGCACCAGCTATCATAGAATGCGGTTGTGTCGCTAAGATTCTCTGCAATGAGTACAATGTCTTTAAAAACAACGCCGCTATGCCTCCCTACATAAAATTCATTCAGAGCCACGAGCGCTTTCCCAGACTCAAAAGGCGAATGGGACCCACCTTACAACTTGCAGAAGAAGGGTTAAATTGACCGCAGAATTTACCTTCTCGAGTTTCTTGGGCAAGTAGAGAATGCAGCCATCAAAGGCTCGCGTTTCACCGAGCAGCTCATTATGTTCATGCAACAGCGCAATCCTCAGTCGTTTGGATTCCAGCTCTGGGCTGAATGTCACGTGGTACTGATATACCATCCACGTCTTCCGTGACAACAACTTGAAGTAGTTAGTCAGTAGTTTGACCGGCTGACCCGACAAGCCTGGAACCCACATTCCAAATGGAATGCAGGGGAAATTAACGTGTAAAAATAATTTAGCTTAATCGTATACATCATTGTTTTTTTGTATATTTAAGAACGTACAATTGTATCGCTATGATTAATAACATAGCCAACAACATATTGATCAATTACCAACATGTATTTTTTTCTGGAAAACTCCAAGGTCATTCGACCAATTTCAGTGGTGGTGGCATAATGTTATGTTTGGTTTATGCAAACGAGATCAAATTTACTCAAAGGAAATTAACACTTCACCTCATAATTAATGTTATCGAACCCAATACTGCTTATCCGATCCACCAATTGAAAGAACCCTACAGGCCCAATAAAAAATCATATATTGGATAGAGGCATGTGCCATTGTGGAGGGGTGAGGATGGGGGCGGAGGGAGCCATTGCATCAATCGATTTGTATTAACTCGAGTGGCAAGTCATGCAAGTTGATCACTGGTGAGTACTGTCAGGTAAGTAATCTTACGAGGATCTGGTGGCACGTGTTATCATGTCACTCTGTCCGCAGATCGGGCTGCCCACTAGTGACCAATAATTGTGCCTGTGTGAACGCTCAAAGTGTGTGTGTGGCAAAATGGAAGAACCGGAAAGAGACGAAGACCTAAAGGAGAATGTCTTGACGACGACATAAGATTGGTGCCAGAAAGTTGTTGCAGCACTACCTGAGCATATTGGCACAAGACAGAGGAAAGCGGAAATGACGAAATGTGCAGTGGATACCTACGGCTATCTCCCCATCAATCGTGGTGATGATGATGATGAACGCTCACCAGTCTTAGACTGACGGACATGTTCCATTGTCTGGCGAGTCATCAAGCCGACATCCATTGTCTGCATCTGGCCACGACGGCGGCCCCCGCGATCCACTACCATCAGCCCCTCCATGCCTGCTGACACTAAAGATACATCTATAGGATGGGAAAGAGACAAAAGTACTGTTACACATTAAAACTGTACATCTGTACGATAAATAATTGTTAGCCCTCACTGAACAGCAACTCCTTCACATCTGCAATTTTTTTGGTAATATTTTCGTACGGTATTTGAAAACTATGACATCACTTGGCAACAGTTTTAAAGCTAAATCTTGAAATTTAAAAGCATGCAATATAAAAATACAAAGTTTTGTATTGGCCAAAATAATTTGCTGAAAGATTAAAATGATTAATGGAACAAAACGTAAAAAAAACATACCTGAAGATAATCCAGAATCAGGCTCCATGTTAATCAAAAGAAAGAAAATAGGTAAGCTTAGTAATTGAGATACATTTTACCCCAAGCAATGTATAAATAACATGTTTCGCATTCGTATATTTACCAAAAATATATTATCGCATACACATTATAAAGCTAGCAAAGCCTCACTGAGCCTCAAGATTTCTTTTGTACAATGCTACATTCAGGTTTTCAAAGTTCATAAACGAGTTTTCGGCACGAGTAAACTGGAGTGATGTAAAAATCCAAATGCACACGAGAGAATAATACTCAAAAACTCTGCAGATTAAAATATCAATCTGTACTACCCTCTCCTAACCACCTTGCAGGCCCAGCCTACAACACCAGATACTGATACGAACCTCCTGGTTACACCAGCCCACAAGGGATTATTGTGTCCGTCCGTCGTTCAGGGAGGGGCTGGGTGGGGAGGGGAGGGTGGGGAGTGGCTGGGTGGGGAGGGTGGGGCTGAGTGGGAGGGGCTGAGTGGGGAGGGGAGGGTGGGGAGGGGCTGGGTGGGGGAGGGAGGGGTGGGGCTTGGGTGGGGAGGGGCTGGTCACCCCGTGGTGCCCTTATAAAACTCACGCCGGCTTGTGCCCGCCCTCACAGTCGGGCATATTTGCGGAATACACCACGCCGCCGTTGACCCTGCAGGCCATTGACCGAGCAACCCAACGTTCCTACCAGCTCCCTCCGCAGGAATGTGTTATTCCTACAGTATCCAAGCCAATCACTAAACAGGATGCAATCTGCTTAGCTTCCGAGTTCTAGCCTTTCATGGTGACAAGGTCGTTTATACTCGATTTATTGAAATTGCTTTAATAGATTGGGAAACAGTGAAGGCCTGCAAATCTAAAGCTCTGAAACTCAATCTTTAGTTAGACTGGAGAAACCCAATGAGCTATGTTCTTTTTCTCAGATTTCCAGTAAGTCCATAAGCCCAGAGCAGATATTTCACCTATCGGTTTCAATGGCTCTATGGTGGTCAATAACAATTAATTGTTTTGTCAAACGAGTCGCTCATACTTGGTACATAAAGGAAAAGCTTCACGAAACCATCTATGCAAATCTTCTGAGCATTATTCTATAGTGTTGGTGGTTTTCTCCCACATGCAAAATATTCCTTGAAAACTGAATTGGCCAAACACACCAATGCCTCTTACATCTTGGATTTTTAAGGACTCATTGAGTCTTATCAGGATGATGGCATTATAGTTAATCACATGTTCATATTATTTTTGTATGTTGGTAAAGCTTATTCTGCAAAATGAAATTACAATACATCTTCATTATAAACGAATATACTATAAATAACAACATTACAAATAGTGTTTTATTGTAATGTATGCAACTGTAATGTAATGTAGCAATAAAACAAAACAAGGCGTAACTGCCATTTATGACTATAGCGGCAACAGCAACCGTACCTGTGACTGGCTTCCTGGTAGAGGGCATGGTGGCTTTCTGGCGACCTCTGCCAAAAAGGTCACTCGCAGATTCAACGTCCCCGAGTTGTGAAGCGAGCGGTGGCGGTTGAGCCATCTAAAAACACAAACGTGCCATTAGGAACACTGAAGATTTGCCTACACGAAAATTTACACAAACTAACGTCTTATAGTAACCACATCACGATTTTGTGTACAAAAATTTTGTACGCGCACAAGCAGGTAAAAGGGTTTTGTTTTCAAGGTGTACGTGAATCAGAACATGTGCGACCTTCCAATTGCAGCATCCAGATTCAACTTGCGTTTAAGACAACTTAGTTTACATTTTTATTCACTTAAAAGTTCGAAATGGAGTAATTATACGTGCAAATGTACGACTTTAAATGTGTAGCATTAAACCAATTAAAATTAGTCTCTTAAAAGTGTCTGCATACACAAAAAAGATCTTCTGCAGACAGCTTATTCACTTAGGAGGTCTGTCCATTTACATTTAAGGTGCTTGTCTATAGAATTTCTGCTTGGTATTGGTCTGTAAAATAAGTTGGACTTAACAAATATCTCGATAAAACCGATTTATTTTTATTCAACGAGCCAGGAGACTCAGCAGCAAAGCAGCCTATACCGTATTTTCCCGCAAATAACCCGTGGGGGAAAACCACTTTTTACAAACAAGACCCTGCGGGGTATATGGAGGTGCGGGCTATCCCACAAATATTTTACACGTGTGACATGTCATAACTCGTTTACATTTTTTCATGGTAGGACTATCCACTATGCAACACTTTCCTTTGACTAAAGCACTGCTGAATAAACCACTCGCACTAAAATTGCACATGTTATCACGTTTCAAATGAATTGTTTGTACAATTTTTGAAGTGCTTGCACTTTGTTTACCGGCGACGGGAGAGCTGGGGGAGGGAGAGGTGGGGGGTTGTGGGGTGGGGCAGCTGGGGGAGGGAGAGGTGGGGAGGTGGGGGCGAGGCACGGAGTTACCGTAGTTCTGCTATTATCTGCGCAGTTCACAATCTACCAGTGCTAAAACTGTACTTATCTACCTGTTATGTTAGTTATTTATTGGATATTTACTTAGTTCACTCGTTTCCGGTTAGTTTGTTTTCTTTGTGCACGTTATGCTTTTAATGTTAACAATTGATAGTGGAATGTATTACAAATGTAAACTTCGCATTAATGATGGAATTAAGCTGCGGTAACGACGTTAAAGATATGAATGCATGCGGGGTATATGGAGGTGCGGGCTGAATTTTTTTTACACAAAATGCTCTTTTTTCGGGGTATATGCGTCTGCGGGTTATATGCATATGCGGACTATATGCGGGAAAATACGGTAATCAAAGTTACGAGTTAACCACCCCCACCCCACCATAGAAATTTCTGGATTTTCACAACTGGCTCAGCATGGCTGTAAACGGGATCTGAGCAGTGACCTCGATGCCAATTTGAGCTGAGAATCACTTTTCGAATGTGCTCTTGTATGTCATGCAACTGTTGTTCAGAACACGTGCCTTAGAAACATGAGTTTAGATTATTTGGCTGCTATAAATTTCCACAAGCCACTTCGTTGAGCTAATAGCTCAGTGGGCTTTACCTGGCAAGATAAAAAAATAATTGTTTATCTTTATTTGCATATTTTTTTTCAAGTGACTTGTTCATCTTATCCATACATTGTGCATGCCTATCGTGTTTATGTATTGTTTGTTGTAACCTTCTGACTCGCTCCCAACTGGACACCTGTAAAAAGAGCTTCATAGCTCATCGGATTTCTCCAGTATAAAAAATATATACAGTAGAACCTCGATCATCCGCGTGCGGTTTATCCGATTTACGAATTAACCGCGCACCCGAAATTTTTACATAAATAACTCATGGATTTCCCCTTAAGCCCAAATTATTAATCTAAAAAGTTTTACATTATTCTTGGAAATGTTTATTACAAGTCTTGTGCTTAAACCGAACAAATGTGCTTCGGTGAATATGAAATCCACGCGATTGCCTCTATGTACAGTATTTGCATATGCTTAGAACAGTGGGCTTTGCCTGGTAGGATGGAGATGGTTTATACTCTTTGGTTGTTCCGGTAAAGTCACGTCGGTAGAAAATAATAGATCACGACGTTTCGATCGCAACACAAGCAACCGTCATCAGGTGAGGCAAACACAGCAGGGGAAATGCTGACGAAAGAACCAAAGAGTATGGATTCCTGCAGTCACGAACGCTTAAAATCAAAGAGATGGTTTAGTTTTATTTGTATGATTGGGTGATTTGTTTACCTTTTCTGAATTTTGCACTACTGTTTTTTATTGTTGTAACTGTGAAAAAGCGCTTTATAGATCATCGGGCTTTTTAGCATACACGCCGTCCCCGACTTACGATGGAGATGCGTTACGACGACCCCATCGTAAGTCGAAAATGGCCTAGCCTACCCAGGAGTCTTAAAGAATGGTGATAATTTAGCAAAACAGAGCAATTTACAGTACCGTACTGTATAAACTATATGCGTACAGTATATCCCGGCAGCATCCCAACGTACAGTATCGTACCTCGTACGCTGCTGCGTTTGCCTGCCGCGCGAAATGTAAAATATTTAACAATTTTGCCATATCGCTATCGCCATCGTAAGATCTAAATATCGTAAGTCGGGCCATCGTAAGTTGGGGACTACCTGTCAATGGAATCTGAGTGGGCGGAGTTTGATTTTGATTGGCGTGGTGATCCACCCAGTGGTGGGCGTCATCACTGAGCACGCCCATCGACCATTCAGTATTCGTTCTTAATCAGATTTATACTGGAAGAATCCATCCATCCATTGAATTATAAAGCTCTTTTTTCATGTCCAGTCGGGGCGGGTAAGAGGGTTACATCAACAATACAAAAACACAATTGAAAGAGTAACAATCTTAATCTGTCAGTCGTGCTTAATTTTGAGTGAATTATACCCGTACCCATCAACCCATAAGGTTTACCCCGTATTCTTGTACAGGGAAATAGTTTCAGGTCCATACAGCAACATTTTTTGGTCTATTTGTGTTTCTCCCTTGTGATGGGATTTTGTAGGATAAACGTTGAGATTTATAAGAGCAAAGGGTGGCCAATAAGGTCCGAATTGGTCTGTAATTAGGCACCAAGGTGTTGAACAGAGAAATATATACCCATCATTAATTTTGTGAGTTTTAATTAATACCAATATTAGTGGAGGGGGGGGGATTTGCCATCGAGATCCGCGGGGAAATGGAAAATTCTTGAAGCTTTCGTGACTGCAAGGATTCATACTCTTTAGTTTTTTCGGTAAAGTCACGTAGGCAAAACAATACAATAAATGAAAACTTTTGTGCCTTTTTACACCTGATGAGGGAAAATTGTGTTGCCTCCGAAATGTCGTGATTTAATTTAGTTGTTTTCATTTATTTTATTGTTTTACCTACGTGACTTTACCGAAAAAACCAAAGAGTAGAAATGGAAAATTTTGTTGTTAATCATCGGCAGCCATCTCGACGCCCGTCATCATCGCGAACAATCGAGAGAACGACGTCGACTTGAGCTAACTAAACAACTCTAATTCTAGATTTGAAGCTTTCGTGACTGCAAGGATTCATACTCTTTGGTTTTTTTCGGTAAAGTCACGTAGGTAAAAATAAAAATAGAAATAAAATAATAAATCACGTTTCGGAGGCAACACAAGTCTCCGTCATCAGGTGGGACCGTCACAGCTAAATTACTGTATCAAGTGAGGCAAAATTCCAAGAGACAAGCTCTTAAAATAATATTAAAATAATAAATCACGACGTTTCGGAGGCAACACAAGTCTCCGTCATCAGGTGGGACCGTCACAGCTAAAATTACTGTATCAAGTGAGGCAAAATTCCAAGAGACAAGCTCTTAAAATAATAAAATATAATATTAAAATAATAATCACGGCGTTTCGGAGGCAACACAAGTCTCCGTCATCAGGTGGGACCGTCACAGCTAAATTTACTGTATCAAGCGAGGCAAAATTCCAAGAAACAAGCTCTTAAAATAATAAAAATAATAATATTAAAATAATAAATCACACAACAACAAATAATTAACAACAATTATCTCAGACTCGTGTGCGTGTTGTATTTCTTAACGCCACGTGCTTGAAAAACTCACAGCGGACGCAGTTCCGGCATCGCCTTGCGCATGCGCAGGAGGTGGTGCGGCCTCGTCGCCACGGCCGCGCCGCGGGCACGCGCGCGGCCCCTCCCAGGCATCATCTTGAGGCCGCCTTCTAATTATTATTTTTAAAAGACAACAAGACGTGTAGAAAAAAACAATAACGAGACACACCGATTAATGTTTCAACGCAAGCGAGAAACGAGAAAATCGCGACGACGTTTCACCACACGCGTTCCATTTAAAATTGCGCCAAACCGCGACATCTACCGTTCAATATTTATTTAAAATTCCGCATTTAAACAAACTTTTAAACGTCTCGTTCACATCGCCGCATTAAAACGAGCTGGTAAAAGTGACACTTTTCATGAGAAATCGAATGTTTATCGCCTCACAAGTTTTCGCCCGCGACTTTATGAAGAGGACATTTTCGCAGTCGACGGGAGTGCGTCCACGTGCGGCCCCGCGCGTTGTGAGCCTCACCCCCCCCCCAGCCAGCCTTATATAGAGCAGCTTCACATTGGCTCCGCGATTAATGTATCCTTCCGCGATGCGATATAATCCCCCGCTCTCCACGCCATCACCGTTTCAAGAGTCCCGTTCATTTTACTTTTCGAACAGTTATGTATGTTGGCAGTGTTTAGAATATCGTGAAATGTACGTAGTATATATATTTTTTTTAAAAATTCATACTTTACAGTATAATACGTAGAGATAGTCCGGTCGGAAGACCAGACCCCGTCACAGAAATGTGGAATGGCCACGACTATGTTTTCATTAGTTGGGCTGAGCCGAACTCCAGTGTGCGTTTTACCAACTTATGTCTATGAATTGTATGGGTTTATTGTACAACTAGGGGTATATTGTAAAGGCGTAAATATTCGCCCCATTGCCAAAGCAATTCAGATTTTAACTTGCCGGGATGCAGATTCGATTATTCGATTAAAAGAATCGAACAAAATGTTGAAACATTTTGAATTTAGAGGCCTCTAGTGGCTGTAGATGGAACTAATAAGAGATCTAATTACAATACAGTTCTGGATTTACAGTGAAAATGTCGATTATTGCGCTATTCATGTTTTTGTTTTTTGTTTGTTGCGGTTGCACCCGATTCAAAAGCCGAATGGCTCACAGGGCTATACCTAATCAATGAACTTGATGCAAGTAACTCTTAATAAGGGTTGCCACCTTTACCGCTGAAGATCAAACCGAGATATTTCTCAGCCACCCATCATATATCCGGTACATATAAACGTATACCGCACAAATATTGATGCCAATCTCCAAGATTATCCGGGTCAAACCGGGACGGGTGGTAACCCCACCTATAACGTATGCGACACGGATCCAACTGCCACGTGTAATCATACCTGTCCACCCCTTTATCAGTGCCCTACCTTATTGCAGACCAATTCAGACATTATTGGTCACCCCGTGCTCTTATAAATCTTAACGTTCATCCGACAAAGTCGCATCACAAGACAGAAACACAAACAGACGTTTTATTAAAAAAAATTGCCCGTATTGAAACTGCTGTACGCCGTATAAATAAAAAAAACTCAATTTCCATGTACAAGAATACGGGTAAACCGTATGGGTTGACACGGTATGTGGAGTAGTCACACTCGGTAGAGAATTCAAGGTGGTGATTTGCGTTGATGGACGACGCATTACATTATATCTATGGGACCTTTTTTTTTGGTAGTGTCAAAATGATGGAAAATACAAGATTAGCTTTTACCCTTTCCATACCTGTCAACCCATACGGGTTACCCGTATTATTGTACAGGGAAATTGAGTTTCAGGTCCATACGGTGTACAGCCGTTTCAATACGGGCAAAACCAATTATTGTCTATTTGTTTGTGTTTCTCCCTTGTGATCAGACGTTGTAGGATGAACGTTGAGATTTATAAGAGCACGGGTGACCAATAAGGTCTGAATTGGTCTGTAATAAGGTAGGGCACTGATAAGGGTTGACAGGTATGTTAACGAAATATAAATGCAGTATATAAATAAGCAATGTGACGATGTGGATGCGGAACCGGTTTTTATTTTAGTACGTTACATTATTAATGTGTAAATAACAACATTTTATGTTCAAGTCCCTGACCTACAGCGCATAGCTGCATAGGGCATTGTATTTATAGATACTCCACTAAAATAATAGGATGTTTAGAAAACATTTACTTTCAAAGCCCCCACGTGTCTCCCACCAATGTCAATACACTCGTTACATCTTTAAATCCCCCTTTGATGTATGGAGCCATTATTTTCACAAGACAGTACAGTTATTAACGTTGAGAAGTAAGAAGGCCGTTATAAATCGGCCGGGGCATCTACATGTAAAAACAACCCTGTTAATATGTAATGACATCGGGATGTCACTGCATGGTGCCGGCCTGAGAGGGCCGTGGCGTGCGATGCGATGCACCGTCATCGCGTACACCCCGTGGTGGTTGTGGTACCAGCCCCAGCGGGGCTTGGTGAGCGCTGGGATAGTGCGGGCACCACGCATGGCGTGCGGTGAGGGCTCCCACAGGGGGAAATGGGAGAGTGTCAGCCCAGGGGCAGGGTTGCCCCGGGACATGGCACTCTGGTTGACCCCATAGACACGTGATCCGGAGTGTCCACAGAGAGGCCCCCAGGTGGAGGGGGGTGGGGCTAGGGGTGATCACGTGTCCGGGGAGAGCTCTCCAGAGGGATCGAGAGACAGCTAGAAAGCTCGAGAAGGTGGGCGGGGCTAAGGGAGGAGCGGCCCCGACCTGGGGGATATAAGGTGGGTCCCTGAGAGGGACCGGGGTCGCTGCATTCTACAGGCTGATCCAAGTCTACAAGCTGGAAGCTCTACGTCTACAAGCTGAAGCTCCACGTCTACAAGCTGGAAGCTCTATGTCTACAAGCTGGAAGCTCCACGTCTACAAGCTGGAAGCTCTACGTCTACAAGCTGGAAGCTCCACGTCTACAAGCTGGAAGCTCATATCTACAAGCTGGAAGCTCTACGTCTACAAGCTGGAAGCTCTACGTCTACAAGCTGGAAGCTCTATGTCTACAAGCTGGAAGCTCCACGTCTACAAGCTGGAAGCTCTACGTCTACATGCTGGAAGCGCCACGTCTACAAGCTGGAAGTTCTACGTCCTACGAGGCATCACCGTGGTCGGGGACCCGAGTGAGGGTCTGACCCTTCGTAGCTGTAACTCCTACGTATAATGTAGTTAGTTGGGTGGTCACCACCCTAGGCTGTATCTGGTGAAGGGGCAGTTACCCCTTTGTGTCAGCGGGTTGATGTTACAATATAAGTGTTGCTTCTAAAGAACGTCTCAGACTCAGTTGGACTCACTACACATATACCACGTTCTATAACGGTGGCTGTCTTTAAATTGGAACTGGATGGGGGTTTATTTTTGTTGGAGGGATCAGCTGTTGGAAAGTCCACATTCCCCTGGAAAGTGGCCAGTTGACACATTGAAAACCCACTGTTGACTCCTCACAAAGTGATATCTAATATCTTGA